GCTTCCCCCTGGGATAGTATGATTTCATGTCTATATATATATATATTCTGCACATTCGTCCATCCTAAATATGAAATCAGACCATCCCAGCCAAACCGGGTTCCCCCCCTGAGGTTCCCTTGTACAAAACAATATGCGGTGACATTTGTTGCTCTAACATAAGACTTTTTTTGCGAATCCCTTGCAAAGAATGGGACGAAGTGCACACGCGCGCGTCGTCGCGCGCGCATGCCGAAATCCTTAAAAAAGACCCTCGGTTCCGGAGAGATTTCAAAATTGAATTTCCAAAAAACATACAAAAAAAACAAATGGTTTCGCAACACTGATTTGCTAAAAAAGCTTACGCGCGAGCTCTTGCGAAATCTTAAGAAAACCATTGGTTTTTCAAGATTTTCACAACATGCTACCAAACGGGCTTCGCACGCGCATGTCGAAATCTGTCGAACGCCCTTGCGCGTGTGCCGTCGAGAGAATCCTCTGCAAAAAATCAGGACGAAGTGCAGACGCGCGCGAAGTCTGGCGCGTATGCCGAAACCCTGCAAAGACCTTCGGTTTCGGAGGGATTCCAAAATCGTGTGTCCAAAAAACATGCCAAAACAAAAGGTTTCGCAACACGGGTTTTCAACAAAAGCGTGCGCGCGCGCTCTTGCGTCGTCGTCGTCGTCGTCGTCCTCCCTCCTCCCTCGTCGTCGTCGTCGTCGTCGCCGTCGTCGTCTTCTGTCTTTCCTCGTCGTCGTCGTCGTCTTGGCGTCGTCGTCGCTTCCGTCGTCGTTGTCGCCGTGGTAATCCTTCCTCCCTCGTCGTCTTCGTCGGCGTCTCGACGTTGTCCCTCCTATTTCGTCGTCGTCGTCGTCGTGGTCTTCACTCCTCCCTCGTCGTTTTCCTCCTCCCTCGTCGTCGTCGTCGTCCGTCGTCGGCGTCTCGTCGTCGTCCCTCCTATTTCGTCGCCGTCGTCGTCGTCTTCGTCGTCGTTGTCGTCGTCGTCGTCTTCCCTCCTCCCTCGTCGTTGTCGTCGTCGGCGTCGCCGTCCTTCCTCCTTCTTCGTCGTTCGCGTCGTCGCCGTCTTCCCTCCTCCATCGTCGTTGTCGTCGTTGTCGCCGTCGTCGTTTTTTCTCCTCCCTCGTCGTCGTCTCCGTTGGCGACGTCGTCGTCGTCTTCGTCGTCGTCGTCGGCGTCGGCGTCGTCGTCGTCTTCGTCGACGTCGACGTCGGCGGTGTCGTCGTAGTCGGTGTCTGCGGCGCCGTCGTCGTCGTTGTCGCTGTCGTCGTCGACGTCGGTGTCGTGGCCAAGTGCCATGTGGTACCTACCGTCACGATCTTGTCTTAAGAAGTCTTGCGACCAAGTTGCGGGTGGGAGGGTGGGATGTCTGCACGAGCAGTAGAGAGGACAGCTTCAAGGCGGTCAAAGTGAGTTCTCCTTTCTAAAAGGAGAATAGACTCTACCCCCCCCCGGACTTATCCGTTCCCCTTTCGGGTATGTAAATCATACATGATTCTGACCATTCGTCCATCCTAAATATGAAATCATATCATCCCAGCTAGGCTGGGTTCCCTCCCCCTGAGGTTCCCTTGTAAAAAACACTATGCGGTGACATTGTTTGTTCTAACATAACACTTCTTCACGAATCCCTTGCAACAAAAAGGGACGAAGTGCACACGCGCGCGTCGTCGAGCGCGCATGCCGAAATCCTTCATAAACCTTTGGTGCCGGAAGGATTTCGCAATCGAGTTTCAAAAAAAACATACAAAAACACAGGGTTTCGCAACATTGATTTGCTAAGAAAGCTTACGCGCGAGCTCTTGCGAAATCTTGAGAAAACTATTGGTTTTTCAAAATTTTCACAAAATGCTACCAAACGGGCTTCGCGCGCGCATGTCGAAATCTGTCGAACGCCCTTGCGCGTGTGCCGTCGCGAGAATCCTCTGCAAAAAATGGGACGAAGTGCAGACGCGCGCGTCGTCGCGGGCGTATGCCGAAAACCTTCAAAACCCATCGATTTCGGAGGGATTTCAAAATCGTGCGTCCAAAAAACCTACAAAAACTTAAGGTTTCGCAACACGGATGTTCAACAAAAGCGTGCGCGCGCGCTCTTGCGTCGTCGTCGTCGTCGTCGTCGTCGCGTCCTCCCTCCTCCCGCGTCGTCGTCGTCGTCGCCTACGTCGTCCTCTGTCTTTCCTCGTGTTCGTCGTCGTCGTCCTCTTTGGCGTCGTGGTCGTTTCCGTCGTCGTTGTCGCCGTGGTCGTCCGTCCTCCTCCTCCCACGTCGTCGTCGTCGTCCGTCGTCGGCGTCTCGTCGTCGGTTCTATTTCGTCACCGTCGTCGTCGTCGTTGTCGTCGTCGTCTTCCCTCCTCCCTCGTCGTTGTCGTCGTCGGCGTCGCCGTCCTTCCTCCTTCGTCGTCGTTCGCGTCGTCGCCGTCCTCCCTCCTCCCTCGTCGTTGTCGCCGTTGTCGTCGTTGTCGCCGTCGTCGTCCTTCCTCCTCCCTCGTCGTCGCCTTCGTTGGCGTCGTCGTCGTCGTCGTCGGCGTCGGCGTCGTTGTCGTCGTCGAAGTCGTCGGAGACGTCGTCGGTGTCGTCGTCGTCGTTGTCGTCGGTGTCGTCGTAGTCGGTCTTAACAGGTTTTGCAAACCAAGTTGCGGGTGGGAGGGTGGGATGTTTGCGCGAGCAGTGGAGAGGACAGCTTCAAGTTGAGCAAGTGATTGATTGCACCCCATAGAACGCACCGCACAAATTGCACGAGATTGGGTGCCCCACATAGCGTGTACCTGGCCAATTGCGCCCATTCGCTTGCACCGCAAATATTGCACCAAAAGACGGTGGTCGCCGACAGGTCAGTGGTCGCCGAAAGTCTGGGGAGCGTTCAAGGAGCCTTCTTGTGCTGCGCCTGGATTGCCCTGGTGGAGAAGAAAATTGTTGCGCCGAAGAGCGTGCAGCACACCGTTTCCACCACATAACCTGCACAGCATGGATTGCCTCATGCAGACTGACCACATACTACACATGCGGCCTGAAGGATTCCATTATTCGGGCCCCACGCGGGCAATCCCTTAGGAGCACAACACGTGATGGCGTGTTGGGCTACAGCCAGGTGTCGAGAACGGGCCGCCCTCCATCCGTGCAAATGTCGGAAAGATGTACGACCGTTCACAGCGCGAGAGCCAGATTCCGGTTTTTTATGCGAATACGCCCCACCGTCCGTGTAATTGCTGTTGAGGAACACGAAACGGCGTCAACACAGATGTTCGGAGGTCCGTGCGGATTTCTTGGATCGGCGTTGGGGCCTTCTGGCGGCGCCTCCAGCGCCGCCCCTTGCACGCTTCGCGCGCCAGGGAGTGGGGTCTAGCGCCGATCCAAGACATCAGCGCGGACCTCCGAAAGTGCATCTGTATGCTGATGTTCCTCTATGGAAGACAAGTGTGCGTGGTGCTGATGCGAGAGCCAAACTCAGAAACGGTGCCAACCTATGCTCAAGCAGCCGTTGGAGAGGCCAAGACATTCTAGCATTTTGCGTCATGACGCTTCGAGCGACACGCACGGACCACTCTACAGACACGGTTGGTGGCGCGACGCAGAAGAGTTATTTGGTATGAGAGGGGATGGAGGAGGCGGAGGAGGGGCAAAATGAGGACGCCACTGATGCCATCCCACCCACTTGCCCGCACCGTCCTGCTCCAACGCTCGGACACACCATTTGCTCCTCCCCTCGCTCAAGATGAGGCCTCCCCGCCGTCTTTGTTCTCCCCCCCTCCCAAAACACAAAAAGCATAGATACCCTGCTTCCGAGGGGTCCTGCTGGTCGCCCCTTGTTATCGCTATTCTAGTTTGATCAACCCGCCCGTGGGCAACGGCCCTGGGGGGTGGGGGCGGCATCAACAGCGGTCCCGATGCCATCAACGACAGGAGGAGGAGGGGGAGCAGGAGGAGGAGGACGAGGTCCAAAGATAGGCGTTCCGAAACGAATCCGTCTGCAAAAGGGTCTAAGGAGTTGCCATCCTGCCCCTGGCGGAGGGGCCGACGGAAGGCCCGCCCCGGCAAGACGAGGGCCAGTTCTTTGGCGGAAACCGAGCGTCTTCCTTTTCCGCCCGCTTTCTCCTATACAGTGACACAGTACGAATACGACCCTCCTCTCTCCCCTGATGACGTCTGGAAGGTTTCCGGCCCCCCTTCGCGCATTGTTTTATACACAGGATTCCTGGGAATTGGGTTTTCGCTTTGGTTTTTTTGCGAAATGTTGCTCCCGCTGCAGCGCTGGCTTCATTTTCGGGCTTCCACTCGTTCCGAATCGTGCTCACGCTGCAGCGCTGGCCTCACTTCCGCGCTTCCGCTCGTTCCGAATCGTGTTCCCGCTGCAGCGTTGGCCTCATTTCCGCACTTCCGCTCGTTCCGAATCGTGCTCCCGCTGCAGCGCTGGCATCATTTCCGCGTTTCCGCTCGTCTCGAATCGGCTCCCGCTGCAGCGCTGGCGTCATCATGTCCAGTGCCATGCCACGGCATGGTTTTCGGTCCTTCCAAATAGGCCCCAAAATCAAAAAAACAAAAATGCCTCCCGAAAAAAACATCGGAAATGATTACGCAGTAAGTGTCGATTCGTTGATTTGTGGGGCCGAAGAAAGCCCACGCCGTGCTATGTCATGCCACGCGTTGATCTTCAACACCATGCTATGCCATGTAATGCTATGCCATGCTACGACATCCGATTGTGCGAATAGAGAGGAGATCTACGCCATGGTAAGGCATGGGAGGGAGGGGCAGGACGTCAGATATGCCGCGAGCGCACCTAGCTTGCCCTCCTCCCCTCTCCTCCTCCCCCTCCCCACGTTCCTCATGTTTCTCCTCCTTCTCCTCCTCATCATCATCAGCATCATCATCATCCATCCTCTCTCCAGGTTCCTCACTGCAAGATCCTCCTCCCCTCCCTCCGCGTTTCTCTTCCTCCCTCCTCGATTTCTCGACCCTCTTTCTGCCCCCTTCTCCACGACGGCACCGTCACGGGGGGTCGGGAGGGGCTCTGGCCACGCCGTGGGGCAGCTGATCATCGGCGCCGTCTGCATAGCGATAAACTTCGGCATCCTGCACGGCGCCTTGGGGAGTTGGGGCGAAGAGGGGCAGAAGGGCGAGCGGGCGTTCCACGGCGACGAAGGCGACGACGACGGCGGCGATGAGGGACGACGGTCACGACCACGACTCCGGCGACGACAAAGGCCTAAGGCGACGTTGAAGAAGACGACGACGACGACGACGACGGCGGTGACGACGACGGCGGTGTCGGCGGCCACGGCCACCGCGACGGCGACTTTGATTTTCAGCTCGTAACTCGGTTCTCTGGCGGCTGTTCGAGACGATCCGGGCACCATCGGAACACTCTCGGCGAGGCGCAGCTGCTGGAGAGCACCCCGAGGTTGGAGAACCTCCCAACCCAACGACAACGCCCGAAAGCCCTGAGTCTCGAACAGCGCAAGTGGCGACAGTGTACGCTGTCGAGGGGGCGCGGGCGCAGCGGAGCCTTCGCCGAGAGGCTCCGTGGCCTCGAGGCTGCAGGAGCTGAGCCCGCTCCTCGTCGGCGGGGCGCTGGTGGTCCTCGGCCTCACGGGCATCCGCGAGGCGGTGGCCTCACAGATGCGGGGAGGGGGAGGAGGAGGATATTGCGGTGAGGAGCACGGATAGAGAGGAGGGAGGGAGGAGGAGGGGGAGGAGGACGACGAGGAGAAGGAGGAGGAGGAGGAGGAGAAGGACGAGGACGAGGACGAGGACGAGGAGGAGGATGAGGAGGACGACGACGAGGAGAAGGAGGAGGAGGGGGAGGAGGAGGGGGAGGGGGAGGGATGCAGGGAGGGAGGGAGGGAGGGAGCACTACTTCCCCACGATCCTTCAGGTGCCGGCGAATTTGAGCGCAGCTTTGACACAGCTCCGCGGACGCGTGGCCGAGCAGTTGTTGGTTGCGCGAGCCGCCGGCGATGCTGCCACCCAGGCCCGGGCGAACATGTTTCGACAGTGATGCTCTTCAGGCCCGGG